ATGAGAGCTGTGTGTAGATCACCACTATTTTATGACATTATTTAAATATAATTGGTGACTGTATGTAAGTGTGGTTAAATAGGAGCACTCTTCTGTTCCTCTAGGACACTGTTTAAAGGAAGGAATTATACTGCTTTCAACATAGTGCTTATGATACCGAGTTTAATATAAAAGTTGGAAATGAATGTTGATGTGAGGTTTGTTGCTTCTTAAGGCTTTTGCCAAGCTGAAATATTTTCTTTGTGAAAAAGTTTACAATGAAGCAAAATATATGATTGAGTATTATATTGGAAATTATTTTATCACATAATAATTATCAAGCAAGAAAATCATTTGGTTAAGGCTGATTGTCAAATAACTTACTACAGTAAAAGTAGGTCAGGTATATCTCCCCAGGTATATCAGCTTTCTGCAATCTCATGTCCCCTTAATGTGTTGGGATAGCAACTCCCAAATTTCCAACTATACAAGGAAATCTGGAAATTGAGTCCAGTATGGGAAAATGCTTTTCCCTTCTTATGTTATGAAAAATACATTAATGCTTCTCCTTCCTTCCTTCCTTCCTTCCTTCCTTCCCTCTGTCCCTCTATCCCTCCTTCCTTCTTTTCATCATAAGAGCTCACATATCCAGTTTTTTCAACTGCACATAAACAATAATCTATTCCTCATTTCCTCCATCTCTCCCCCTATCCTATCCCATTTCTTGTTATAATTAATAATAACAAGAAGTTATCCCTTTCCCCCACTTCCCCCTCCCCCCTGGCCACCTCTTTTCTGGTTCACTGACCAGCACTGTGAAAACACTACTCATCTTGATGTTTTTTTGAAAAATTAAGGTAGAAGATAGAAGGGAAGAAAGGTTTGGTAATTTATTTATTTTTTCTCCAGGTCAACTTCTTTTGCAGTTCAAGGAGAAGCAAAGAGAGCATCTACAAATAAGATTCACATTTTAAAGTATCAAATTGAACAGATTTTTTTTCTATTTTGAAATATATAATGTACAAATATTGTTTTTATTTTATCATAGCTACATTGTGTAATACAATATTTCTCATTTGGGATGTTTTCTGTGGCACCAGATGAATATCATAGTCCTGGTGGTCTTAAATTCCTTCCTTTCAATCCAACTGCTAATGACTGCAGTAGATAAAAACTTAAGCCTCAGACCTGGATTCATGCTGCTAAGCAAATTTGTGCACACCTCTTCTTTCTGATGTATCTTTCATAGATGGAGATTTATTTTGAAAATATTTGAGATCAACAAGTTCTGACCTGCACTGGCAATTTTGAACAACAAAAATTAATCAGCTCCTTTTACATCTTGGTTTTTAAGGATTCTCTTGCTCCATTTGTCTTTGTTTCCCAAATGAGAACCCAATTTTGTTTGCTAAATTGGAGAGGAGAGTGAACAATAGTGAGGAAAGCAGCATTTCTGTCTTCATTCTTTGCTGTTGAATTGATAATGGGAATGTTGAATCAAACCACTAATCAAGAGTCTCTACAGTAGAATTAGACAAGATTATTAATGTTTTAAGAAAAGAGAAAAGAACAAACAAAAAGGAATAGCTTGCATAGTTATTGCTCAGTATATTACTGATGATAAATTAATCATAAAAATAGATTATTGTTAACAATAAGGTAAATGATTTTTTTAAAAAATAATCTCTGAGTTTATTGCCAGTTTCCACTATTTTGTTATTAAAAGATACCATAAAAAGAGAAAGAAAAAAAACTACTAAAACTTGCTGTCTTCTAAAATCATTTTTTTTAAAAAAAATTGATTTATATGCCGCCCTTCTCCGGAGACTCAGGGCGGCTTACAGTGCGTTAAGCAATAGCCTTCATACTTTTGTATATTTTATACAAAGTCAGCTTATTGCCCCCACAAACTGGGTCCTCAATTTACCTACCTTAGAAAGGATGGAAGGCTGAGTCAACCTTGAGCCTGGCAAGATTCGAACTTACAGTAATTGCAGACAGCTGGTGTTAAATTACAGTGCCTTGTCTGCAGAGCTGTCCAGGCTCATTGGACACCCAATTCTGTAATCCTTTGTCACTGACCATATTAGTTGAGGTTGCAGGGAGAAGAAAGACCTTCACTTCCCACCATCAAGCAGGAGGTTATTTCAAAGAATCAGACAGGCTTCTGTCTTATTTTCAAACATAAGGATTTCTATGGAGTCCAGAACTGATTGGTGAGGATGGCAGTTGTTTAGTTCAACAATTGAGCCATGCAGGAAAGGAGTTACTGATTCAGGAAAGGAAGTGTGTGATGCCAAATCAAAACGACAAAGCAGCTAGAATTGCAGTTTGTGGCTCCACAATGAGTAAGATGATTCCCTAGAATGGATTCCAATTGATGTTTAAGTATCCTGTGCTAGGAATTCAGCCCCTCAAAATGTTTCAGAAATATTTAAAATATTTAAATTATTATTATTTGTTAAAGCACCTTCCTTATTTTTATTGATTTTTTTCAGTCCAACATGGTCTATTAGGGACATGATATTTTTGCATCTTAGTTCTAGTTCCTCCCACATAGTGAAGTCTAAGCTGAGAAAGGAAGGAAAGAGAGATGCCAGGAGAACAGTCCAACTGTATCAACATCCTCCTGGCAGTGAAATTAATACCAGGCTCCTTTCCCTTGAGACTTGTTCCTGGTTGTGTTGCAAGCAGTTCCTCAATGTGTGTGCCGCTGGCAGCAGATGGTTACTTCACTCAATAGAAGCAGGCTGTGGATAAATGAGGCAGATAGCCATACACCAATGAGGCTCCAGTTAATGGTGTTCCCATCCAAACAAATGTTTTCATGACTGGTGGATTTGTCTGTGGTCTCTGCTGATACATAACAAGTTTTTGAACATGGTCTGACATATTACTGTGTTACAGAGGAAAACACAGAGGAGACAATTGTCCCAAAAGATCAAAGTTGTTGTGATGGTTGAAAACCAGAAGAATTTCGACTGAGTACTAGCACTGATGATATTACCTAGTTTGGGTAATGAAATATTTTCAAGAAAACAACCAAGTTCAGAGAGCACCAAGGAGCTTAGTTGTTTCAACCCTGAGCTACAGATATTCTCCTTTACTGGCATTTCAGTTGACATCTATCACAGCTGTAGTAACTGTGGTGAGGACATAAAATAAAGAAAAGTGTGAGTGCCATATGTAGATTCTGTTTATTTTCTCTATAAAATTGTTCTTTTGTTCTCAGTAGCAGTTTTTTTCTGGACTTTACTCAGCAGGACCATAATTATGTGGATTTTAATAGTGAATAGTGAGGGGTTCCGGACTTTGCATACAGTACATACATGTAGTTGGAATAAATAACAGAAAATCTATGGTTCATTACAACCCCTTCTGCAGCCACATCTCACATAAGAGGTGCTCTTTTAAGAACAAGATGGAGGGACATTCTGGGTAAACATCCAAGCCAATCTCAAGTTTCTGATTGGTCTGTTTCCGAACTGAAATGAACCTGGAGAAGAGTAGAAATAACCAATTTTATATAGGAAAATGACACTTGAAATAGTTTCCCTTTGCTTTACAGATTTGGAGAGTTTCTAGTCTGCAAATGAATAATAACTTCCAACCTCCTTCATCTCTAGGGTTATTGAGAATTAAATTTAGCAATACCCACAGAGTTATCCTGATGTATGATATACTTCTAGAATGAACCATCATAAACCAAACAGTTGAGTAATTTTCCTTTTCAAATTAGAAATAATATAACTAACTGGGCCTTTAGAGCCGAGTTGGCGCAGTGGTTAGAATGCAGCACTGCAGGCTACTTCAGCTGACCGCTAGCTGCAATTCGGCAGTTCAAATCTCATTGGCTCAAGGTTGACTTAGCCTTCTACCCAGGGGTGAAATGCTACCGGTTTGCTCCGTTCGGGCAAACCAGTAGCGGTGGCACGGTGTGGTTTGGTGAACCAGTAGTGGCGGCAGTGTGAGGTTCCGCCCACCCGCCCTGTCCTGTTTTTGACCCTCTGTGCATGCGCAGAAGGCTTTGTGCATGCACAGAGGGTCCAAAATTGGACGTGAAGTGCAGCACGTGCACTTCTGAACCAGTAGGGAAGGTAAGTAGATTTCACCCCTGCTTCCATCCTTCTGAGGTTGGTAAAATGAGGAGCCAGATTGTTGGGGGCAATATGCTGACTCTGTAAACCAGTTAGAGAGGGCTGTAAAAGCATTATGAAGCAGTATATAAGTCTAAGTGCTATTTCTATTGCTATCACATCCAGGCCTTAGGAACAGACTTCTGCAAATTGCTCAGGATGTGATTAAAATATGCTTCTGGCCAGACTCAGAATGGGTCAGAAAGTGCATTTAAGACTCAGATGTCAGCTTGTCCACAGTCTTGCCTGAAAAAAATTCTTTTTTTTCCCAGAGATATGAGACAATTAGAAACATAAATTCAATTGCCAAAATTGTGCATGAGTGCATGTTAGGATTCTATTGTTTTCTGTCAACAAGAAAATTGATTTTAAAAAAAGTTTTATTCTCCTCAGAGCCCATTGGAGTCACTGACACTCCACCCCTAGGAGTAGGATCGAATTTGCTTGCTTTGTATATTAAGACAAACCACTCCAATTTGAACTTTCCAAATTAATATGTGAAGTGAAATATAATTATGTGTGCATCCCAGAACATTTAGGAACATGCTGTATACAGTGGGGAAAATGTGCAAATATGTGTTCATATTTATTTGTGGACATTTAATCATTCCTCATTACAGTTGGGAAATAGCAGAGAAGGAATTTATATCTGAAAAAAAAAACATAATTAAAGCCAGTAAAACTGGCCCATTTATCCAACTCCATTTTTCTTTTAAAGATCAGTAATCTCTTGTCACTTATATGTGCAAAAACACCTGAGTCTCTTAAGGAACAGCATGACAATATATAGTCCAATTTGTTATCAGACAGATAAAGCAGCTGTAATTTCTTAACTTCTTAAATTACAAGAAGTATGTTTTTTGCCTATTTTAACTTTTGTGTCAGTTCTTCCAGAATCTTAAAAGAATGAATTCTCTCTGACTTGGCCCAGCAGAATGAAATGTGCTCCCAAATGATACAACCATAGATGTTGCCAGATACGGGATGAAGTCAGCCAGAGTGGAGAGGTCAGATCTAATATGCTTGGTGCTCTGTGAGTGTGGTGGTTTGGTTGCAGACGTGTCATTACCTGACTAGGTAACATCTGGTTGCATTTGCTAATGACAAGCTTTGCAAAAGAAAATTCCCTTTTCAGTACTTTCTCCTAAGAGGAATGAGGTTCTAATATAACGCCTGCCTTTGATATTAGTATTTGCACAAAACCTTCAAAAATGCAAAATGTCTTTCTAGTGGCTGCAAATAAAGTGTTGCAGGTTTCAAATGAACATCCCCAGCAGAAAGAATTGAATGTAATTGTTTCCCAAAATTTAGACATGCAAACACTATATATTAAAGGCAGTGGTGAAATCTAAAATTTGTTACTACCGTTTCTGTGGGCATGGCTTGGTGGGGGGGGGGGTAATGTGACTGAGTGGGTGTGGCCAATTTTTTTTTTACTTTTAAAACCATTTTTTTCTACAATCTCTTCGGCGAAGAGGTTGAAAAAAAAATGCTTTCAAAAGGCTCTGACGATCCCAGCTGAGTTGCCTGATCGGCAGAGGCTTTTTTTCTTTTAAATGCCTCTGATGATCAGGCAACTCAGCTTGGATCGTCAGAGGCATTTAAAAGAAAAAAAGGCTTTTTTTTTCTTTTAAATGCCTCTGACGATCCAAGCTGAGTTGCCTGATTGGCAGAGACTTTTTTTCTTTTAAATGCCTCTGCCGATCAGGCAACTCAGTTTGGATCATCAGAGGCATTTAAAAGAAAAAAAGCCTTTTTTTCTTTTAAATGCCTCTGCCAATCAGGCAACTCAGCTTGGATTGTCAGAGGCATTTAAAGGAAACAAAGGATTTTTTTCTTTTAAAAACCTTTGACGATCCCAGCTGAGCTGCGCGATCATCAGAGGCTTTTTTTTTTTTTACTTTTAAAAGCAGTTTTTCGGCCGAAGAGGTTGTAGAAAAAATGCTTTGAAAAGTAAAAAAAAAGCCTCTGATGATTGTGTGGCTCAGCTGGGCATGGGGGGAGGGAGGGATTTTTACTACCGGTTCTCCAAACTACCCGCCTCCATCGCTACCGGATCGGGTGATCTGGTCCAAACCAGGAGCATTTCACCCTGATTAAAGGAGGTTTGGGAATTATGAGTTCTACAGAATTATTTGCATGACATTACAAATATATAATAAAGTTGTTTCAACTCTGACAGGATTATATCACAAAATGGGGCAAAAATTCCAGAGTTTTCTTTCATGCATAATTACAGTTAATGAAATACAAATGTATATCATTTGAAGTCAAATTATTATTGTATCAGATCACAAGAGAGAAAGCAGGTCAATGGTTTTAGAAAATCATTTTTTTAAAAATTCAGCTTGGTTTGAATGCAGAAAAACATAGATATAATATGGAGACATAACAGCCACATAGCTTCTGATGTGTTAATGGGACCACAGCAGTGGTGGTATTCAACCGGTTCTATCCAGTTTTGGCGAACCGGTAGCGACAGCTGCAGGAGGCTCCACCCACCTGCCCGGACGTCATCATGTCCCGTTTTTGATGCTCTGCACATGCACGGAAGGCTCTGGGAGGCGTGCAAATGGGAAGTGCACACTCCCATTTGCGAACTGGTAGTGAAGGTAAGTGAATACCACCCCAGGACTACAGGGCTAAGAAAGTATTGGTTGAATGTTTCTGAGATGAAATCAGGTCAGCAGTGGAAATAATTGTAAGTATTGCTACCCCTTAGACCAAATTTTGTAATTCCCTCTCTCAGTTATCACTTTGCAGTAACTACAGCAAACTTAAAGTTCAAATAAGTTTCAACCTCTGAACCAATGATGCAATTTTTCTTATTTGCTAGATATTATATACTTACATTCTTTGTTCTCCTACACACAGAGAATTTACTAATGCAACTATTTACTCTTCAGAAATCATTTGTGATTCCTGATTATGCTGTGGCAGTATATGCATCCATGCATTAGAGCAGCGGTCACCAACTGGTGGTCCGTGGACCACTGGTGGTCCGTGAGAAAATTTTGGTGGTCCACAGAAAAATTATTTGCTTTTTATATTGCACTACCGTGTTTCCCCAAAATTAAGATCCTGTCTTATAATTTTTGAACCCTGAAATAAGTACTTGGCCTTATTGCAATGAGGTCAAAAGCCCAATTGGGCTTATTATCAGGGGATGTCTTATTTGGGGGGAAACAGGGTAAAGCAGGGGCCCCTGGGCCAAATATCTGCAATGAACGCTTGTGTTACTGCAGGGAGTTTCCCCCTTTGGGGTCTTTTTGTGCGGGGCAGAAGGGGGCAGAAATTCCAACTTGGGGTCTGCTTCAGCCTCCTGGTGCGGGGCTTTTGGCAAAGGCTGGAGGGAAGTGCTGCTGGTGGCGAAGAGCCAGAGGGCCTTGTTCCAGTGGGACTGTATCATGGCCTGGAACTGGCTGACCATCTCAGCCCACTGAGCCTCCAGGCATTAGTACCTGGCCTTGTACTCCCACAGGTCTTCCCTCTGCTTCTGCTGAGCCTCCTTCTTGGTCAGATCCAATTTGAACTGAGCCAGCTGTTTTGCCAACTCTTTCTCGTGGCTGCTTAGCTCCAACAACTGCTTCCTGTTGGGGCCCTAAGGAGCTCAGGCGGGCAGGTGAGGAGTGGCTGGGAGAGGAAGGGCAAGTAGAGGCCGGCGAGGCACCCCTCGACGTGAGTGACATCACTCACCTAACCTAGCCAGCTGGTCATTAGGTAGATCATATTAGTGGTCCACAGGATTTAAAATTGTGACCCCTGCGTTAGAGCCCATTTTTGACATGCCACTTGATTTGTCACTGAGTTGTGGTGGCAAACTAAAACCTGATGTCTCTTTCCCACTGCTGTTATGCTTCTTATGTGCATTAGAACACAATTTAAGTTAGTCATATAGCTGGTCCTAAATAAGCATGGGCAGATAGATTGCAAAGTCCAGTTGATTTTCAGTCTGAATGAAATCAAATTATGAATTAAGCTCTACTGTGAGAGCAGAGCCTGATATTCAGACAGCTCTGAGTGACACTACTGCATTGCAAAAGCTTTTCCATTGCCTTCAGAGCACTGAGTAAGGAGGGTAGTGTGATGTGTAGGCATTCTTGCTTGTAACAGAGAGGATGAAGCTGGATGCAAGACTCTTAAGAAGTCTTCATAGAGCATACCATGTATAAGTCTAAGAAAGTATAAGTATAAGAAAAGTATAAGTATAAGAAAACCATTAGTTCAAATTTTGCTGATGTAGTAGAAACACAAATAGAAATATGTGATTTCCAAGGATAGAAAGGGAAAGTACTTAAAATTAATGTTCTCACAATATAGAAATGCTGGTATATATATATATATATATACACCAAGCAGGTGAAAGTTCTTCCTCTTTGTGCAAAAAGGAACTTGAAAATCACTTGTGACCTCGGGACCACAGATTGCCCACCTGCTTAAAAATATCATGTAGGTTTGACTAGTTCATGCTGTGAACAATCTTGAGTTCTGAACTACAATGGTAAAAGATAAAAAGAGAAACAAATGAGTCAATTTTGATTAACAACTAGATTACAAACTATTTTTCCAAAGAGCTACTTAAAAATGAATCAGCTCAGGCTGCATCCAGTACAGTGGGTGCCGTTCTTGTTAAACTAACAATGCTTGAGATTTTATTTGGAGTCTCATATACAAGAAAGGAAAACTAAAAGAAATTGAGTTATTTTTTGCACAGAGAAAATGTTGTGCTATGTCTGGAGCCAGAAGCCCAGAGTCAAAGTGTCAGTGGAAACATGACAAGATTTCAAGCACCAATTAAAAATGCTGTGGTTTTTTGTTTATTGTCAAAAAGCCCACCCTCTTTTCAAAAAACTAAACAGACTCCCGATCTATTAGTGGAAGAGATCAAAGCAGAAAAGCAGCAATTATGCTCAGCCTACTACTTAATTTGTCCCAGTTCAGAGTAACAAAAAATGAATAAAGATATTTATCCCTCGCTACAGGGTTTTAATTGTCACTAATCTAATTGCTACTCTGTCCGATTCTTGCTATATCTTTGCTCATTAAAATGTTGCTGCTTTACTGGTTTTTCTGCTTATTTCTAAGCAGCTTCTTTCTCAAGTTTTTCACATGTCTTAGATCAGAACTATAGTCAATTTATACACCCAAGGAAAATTTTACTTCTTTTCTTCTACCAACAAAGCAGTGTGGAGGGAAGAATGCTTCGTCTAAAATATTCAGTGGTAGAAGGTTTATTTTAAAAAGTGCTGCTTTGCTAGCATTCAAAGTAATCAAAATTAAATGGAACTAAATAAAAATATAAAGACAAAAACTCAGTAAAACTAGTAGCACTATTACTTATTTCATCCAAAACTGAAATGCTACTTATCCAGTGTCCAAATTTATTGTTTCCATCCTGACATCCCCAGATTTTCTAAAGTCTGCTGTATCACAATTTAAAAGTAAGGAATTATATTATTTTTCTGTTACAATTTCCATAAGATAAGTATATACAAAAACAAAGAGTTGTTGTTGAGGTTTTGTATGGAGTCATTATCCTTGTTTATATTAGGCATTAAGAGGTGTGCATGTGTGTGTATACTGTGTATATATATGATCAGGGGTGGGTTCTACTTATCTTTACCACTGGTTTGCAATGGGCTCTCGCGCGCACCTTGCTTCTGAGCATACGCAGATCATAGATGACGACATCCGGGGCGGTGGGCGGGATTTCCCGCTGGTTTTACTCCCTGTTCTTGCGAACCAGTCTGAACTGGGGGCAACTCACCACTGATACACACACACACTATAAACGAGAGTTCTCAATTTTGTTAACTTAAGATTTCAGAAATATTCTAATTCTGCTACACATTTGTGCAACGTCAATGATGGGGGAGAATAAACTAACCATTAAACTTAAAACTGAATGAATTTTTCTACGAAGTAAAATACGTTTTTAATGATTAGGAAAAAATGATAATAGAAAAAGTGAGCTTTTTTTGTAATCACAGAGCAAGATAGTTCTGTA